GTCAGGGGGCAGGGGGGGAAGGGAGAGGGGGCAAGGTGGTGGTCATGGCAATTGAAGAGAAAGGGAGGGTGGGTATTGACAGAGAAAAACGAGTATTCGTTATTGTTATACTTGTTTTAATGACTGTTTTACATCCACCATCCACGCCATAAGGTCATATAAGTGCTGAAGACTAGAGGTGTTACAAGAGAGTAACATACACAAAATAGAAGCAGAGGAGATGAAGACGATGTATGTTTGATAGGAAAGAAGGAGCGAACCACACGAGAGCAGCCGCCAACCACCCACGAGTATTCGTTATTGTTATACTTGTTTGAGTGACTGTTTTACTCCCACCATCCACACAATTCAGACAGTTTGAGAGGCCGGCTGCTTTGACTTTTTTGGGTTTAGTTTTAATAGAGGTTTTACGGCGCTCACAACTGCATACGGTCATTAATTTTGAGCGCCAGAAGATTAGATGTGTCACAAGAGAGTAACATTACAAACATAAAAAGAAGAAGGGGAGATATGGACAATAGATGTTCGATAGGAAAGAAGAACCAAACCACACCAGAGCACCCGATAGCCACCCGCTGGTAAGTGTTTTGCGGTGCTCGCAACTGCATAAGGTTATATGAGCGCACGGGAAACATTAGACATTTTCAATTTGGTAAAAATTAATAATTTTGAATTTTTTCCAGGGGTGGCCGAAGCCTACTCTTATCGATTTTGGACCACCAAGGGATCTTTAACCATGCGCAACTTCCACGCGGGACCTCCGAGATTCATCCGAAAAGGTTAAGTGTTTGATCTTACCTACCATAATATCAGTGGTGTGGCTGAAAGACAGCAGTAAAAAGCAGCTTCGGAGTAGCAGCAGAAAGGCTGCAGAAAGAGTCAGGAACCCAGAGGAGGGGACAAGGTGGGGGTGGGGGAGGGGGGACAGAAAGTGGAGACGAAAGCAGACGACTGAACGTTGTTAGAGAGCAGGAAAGAAGATAAAAGGAGAAAATATTAGCAAAGAAAAGTTTCCGTTGCTGTCAGGTTTTGAACCTGGGACCTATGGAATGAGAGGCGAACACGTAACCTCAAAACCACAAGAGCCTCCGCTCTGACCCCGCCTCTCGGGGAAAGCCCACACTGTGCGGAGATATAGCATAAGATAAAATAAAATAAGAGATAAGATACACCTTTATTGTCCAGATCCTGGCACATTGATTTGGTGTTTCACCACGCACACACACACACACAGACACACACACACACACACGC